TTTTTTTGCTATAGGGCGCGTGTGCTCTCCAGACAGACAGAGAGGGACAGAGAGATAGAAAGCAAGAAATCACCCCCTGGGGGGGATGGCCATGCCACAATCCCTTCTCCTCCATTCTCCTCTCGGGATCTTGGGCACACATGCACATGCACCCGGCGTGAGTTTAAGCCACTGGGTCCAGGACGCAAACTGCGGTCGACCACATGGGAGTCCAGCGACATAGCCATTACGCTAACTGCTGGTCCCATAATTATCTTTTTTAAAAAAAATAATTTAATTTGTAGTCTATACTTACTGCATTGAGAATATGTCATGTAGATAACAAGAAATAATAATTTTTATTGTGAAAATATAAAACCGTGTAACAAAAAAGTTTCCATTTCTCCTTCTTTTATTATTAAATGCCTCAGATGATATTTAAAATTAACTAGATAAATATCAGTATTAGCCAAACTAACTTTGAATACTGAAAGAAAAAATAGATTTTTTTTTGTGATCTAAAAGGAATCATAAAATAGAACATTTAGTATTAAACTTAAAAAAATTAACCCAAAGGCCCAGCTGGCAGCATAGTGGTAAGGGCACTGAAGTCCCACATGGTTGACTATGGTTCAAGTCCAGCACCTGGTGGCCTGAAATTCATGTCAGGTGTGTGTTCCTGCATGCCCAAGATCCCAGGAGGAGAATGAAGAGAAAGGGACTGTGGTATGTTCATCCCCCATGATGGGAGATTTCTTGCTTTCTGTCTCTGTCTTACCAGTGAATGCATTTACCTTACAGCAAAAAACTCTTAAAATATATTACCTGAAAAGCATGTAAGATTTTATTTAAAAACAATCTTTTTAAGATAATAAAAATAGCTATAGCTAAGAATAAATGCTAAAATAAATGCTAAACAGTGAATAAATGCTAAAACTGAATCATGGCAAATAAAACAGTCCTTTAAACAAAAAAGAAAATAATGTTGACAAGTATTGAATTACTCTGGAGATGCTCAATATTTAACAAATCAAATAACAAGAAAAATAAAAATGTATACAACTATTTACATACGCAAATTTTCAGTCTGAGAAATATAAAAGAAAAAGAATGTACATGATTTTCAGAAATCGGGACTATCTTTTCTAAGTAAAATACGTATAGTTTGGGTATTTGTATTTTTTTCAATACTAAAAGCTCTCCATAAACATTTATATACTTGCTGAACGTGACCATTTAAACAAATCTCAAGAATAACAAGTGCCTGATGGCAAAACTAAGAAAAAAAAAAAAGTTGTGTTAGAAAGAAATAAAGGGACAAAAAATAAGACACGGTCAAATAACATACTGTCTTAAATTAGCGTGTGATATGAGAGTGAGTCCACGGTCAAATAACATACTGTCTTAAATTAGCATGTGATATGAGAGAGAAGACAAAAATTTCTGATATCTAATAACCAGTTTTCACACAGATCAAGGAAGGCAGTTGGAAATGACAGTAGGCACTGCCAGTTTCTTTTTTTTTTCCCCCCTATATTTCAATTTATAATACATACATTTATAAATGAATCTATATCTTGAAATAGCACCTGTGTTGCCTTTAGCAAAGATAACTAATCCTCTACCAGGATATAGTGTGAAAAAAGAAATAAATCATAATAAATCAAGGCAGCAGATGGCATAGGGGTTATATTGCTACACTCCCACTAGTTCAAATCCCAGTACTGGCGGTTTGAAAAATCACCCCAGGCCTGTGCATGTCCAAGATCTCAAGAGGCGAACTTTGGTGTGGCCATGCTCCCCAGAGATAACTTCTCAGTTTCCCTCTCGCTGTCTTTGGCTTTCTCTCTTGGGAGCCCACACACCTTAAGGCAAAAAAATCTCTAAAATAAATAAATAAATAAATAAATAAATTAATTAATTAATAAGTCATGATTAATTAAGCATGTAGATGTAAAGGTAAGTGAAGGTTGATATTATATTCTGAGAATCAGATAGAAGAAACAAGAAAACACATTAAGAAAAGCAGTGATGGGGCCAGCAGGTGGCAAAGTGGTTGAGGATGCTGGATTCCCACATGGCTGATCACGGTTCAAGTCCCGGACCTGGAGACTTACTTTCTCATTTTCTCTTTGGCTCACTCTGTCCCTCTCTGATTAAATTAAAAATTAATTAATTAACTACTTTTTAGTGTGCTACAGGTGTTGGGTACTAGAAGGAGAAAAATAGAGATAATGGAGAGAGACACAGTGAGAAATCACTACCCAGGGAAATGTACTTGCTGCAATCCCTTCTCCATTCTCCTCTTAAGATATTGAGCACAAACACACAAATGTCTTACGTATTTTTTATGCCAAATTGTCCAGAACTTGAACCGTGTATTGACCATGTAGGATCCAGCCACCTTAACCACCACACCACTAGCTGGCCTAACAAGTGTTCATTTTAGAGGACATTTTTGCTCCTGCCTAGATAGGATGGAATAAGGGAGTGGGCACCTGAATTTCATAGTGTGTTAGAGAATACAACATTGCCCAGTTTTTGGAAAAGTAAATAAAGTGAGTGGAAAGCTCTAGCACAAAGGTAGTTATTAAGGCAACATATGGGAAAGAGATACAATTAGTACTGATAGATAAAGGATATTTTTAAAGAGGTCTTGATGTTTTAAAGGGTCATATATTCTAACAAAAATATGTTTTTCTTACAAGAAGGAAATAAATTTTTTGCTAAGTCCAAAATCTCTTTCTAACACAATGTAAAGGAACATACACGTGAATATTTTTATATTATATTATATAAAA